GAATGATGCCGCAATGCGCCGGGGATGGCACTGCTTTAGACCCCGTGTAATAACGTCCTTAGAATGTCTTTGTGGGACATAGTGGAAAGGTCTGTGTTGCACATGGTGTTAGACTGTAGTTCCCAGCAGCCCTAGACAGCATTCTCAGTGGTGAGAATTGCTGGGAGCTGTAGTAAAAAAAAAAACATCTGGAGGGCTGCCTAGATCTGAACCCTATTCTTTTGTAACTTTTCTATCACCATAAATCCACTGCAATTCACTACGTTTAGTCCAATCTCTGTTGTAGAACATATGGGAGGCATCTTGTCAAAGGAGAGAAGGAATCTATTAAATGGCTATGCCCCTACCACCTCCTCTTCTCTTAGTGGGAAAAAATTGTTTGCAAGGTACCTTAAATGTCGAAGCAAACTTATTTCCATTGCCCTTCTTGGCTCCAACACAAGTAACTGAGCTGTTGCCCTATCCCTTACCATCATACACAATGAGTTGGTAGCAGCCAGAACAGTCTTTACTTCTCTGTAAGATGTCTTCCAGTGTCCTGCAGAAAAGTTTGGCTTGGTCTATACGATCTTGCCGGCTAAAGGCAGCATTTTCATCTTGGGACATGGCATAAAGGGATTGCAAAGGAGTGGCATACTCCAGGACACAATAATCAGTCTAGAGGAAAGAGGACAACATTTTTTTAAAGTTTGGATTATAAAGCATCCAGTCTATCTGAAAGGTCCAGCCTATCTGAAAGATCCTATCTTCCTCATGCAACCTACCCAAGTTCTAGGCTGGAGAGAGATTTCTCTTGAAGATCTGTGAGGACAGAGGAGAGGACCTTCTTGACAGCTGCTCCCAGTCGTTGGCATTATCTTTCACTGGAGGCAAAACACTGCTACCCCTCATCTGCTCTCATTTCACTGGCAGATGAAGACCTTGTTATTTAAACAGGCATTTGATGATTAATTGGTTGCAGAAGAGTCTTTTTATGGGAAATGTGCACTGCATTTCTCTTTTATGTTTTTAAATTATATTTTTAAAACTAATAGTGTTTAATATGAATAGCTTTTAAAATTGTGTTTCATCTTTTTTATCATCATGTTTTTAGCTGGATATTGTTTTAGTCTTGTTGTAAGCCACCTTGGGTCCCATGTCAGGAGAAAGGCGGGATATTAATCTGTTGCCATGCTGACTGGGGATTCTGGCACTTGTAGTCCAAAAATTAGGTCAGCCTAAATAAAATGTTCTCAGCCTGGTACCTCCAGATATGTTTGATGACAACCCTGAGGGTCATGGGGGATGTAGTCTAGCACACCTGCATATCACCAGGTTTG